TTTTTTAAAACCTATAGCTTAAACCAAAAAAAAAAAAAAGGGGAAAAAACAATAAAAAAAAAAAAAAAAAAAAAATCATCCATCTGTTTGTGGCATATGCAATGATTTTTGGTATTTGTTCTTGGTCCTAGTCAATTAGGTAGTACAATTTTCAGTACTCATTATGCTTAAAATTTAGGACTAGTTTAAAATAAGTATTTTAAATGAGATGTTAAAAAAACTGCTATCCACTGCACTTTCTTTTTTTCTTTTTTTCAATTTTGCTGGTTTTTTCCAGTCCAAATTAATAAAAAATTGATTGCCATCTACACTTAAAAAACTCAGTGGCTTTAAAGTGAAAAATAACACACTGCATTTGATCTCTGTTTTTCAACTCTTCGGTTTTGAGACATCTCTGGTAATTCAGATCTTAGCAAAGGTCACAGCAATTCCAGTCAATCACATTTTTACAACACAAAAGATTGCTCTCCTGTTTTATAAGCTTAGCACTTAGCTCCGAACATAGCTCTACTTGTGCTACCCTTAAAAGAACAGCAAGTCTTGCACTAATACAGACATTTCAATCAAGGGCGTAGGTTCGGTCTAAGTTTTGGTGGGGACCTTGGTGGGGACCTTGACCCCCCGGCAGCACAGTGAAATGCCCAAGAGCACCGAACATTTTTGAGAAGGGGGGGGAGGAAACCACATTGGCTTAATAACCCCTCCCCCCAACCATAACCATATCATACATCTTGTGTATACAACCAGATACAGTCATACTCAGCAGATCAGTTCAAGAACACTTTACTTTTTCCTTTACAAAATTCAGCAAACGTTACAAGTAAGATCAAAAGAAATATCCTCTGGATACAGCAAACACAATTGTAGATAAGAAGAAATCAATAATAAAATAAAATAATATATTGCACTAACAAAAAAAATAAACATGAATAAAATTCTCTGTATTATTGCAATGTTTGTTGCATGCATGTTGCATAGATATCTAACTTATGGGTCCACTCACTGTACTTACAGCCGACGTAGCGAAATAACTTCTAATGTCTGTCCTTTTCTTTTTTGGTGGCGACATGGTCTCGGAGACTCAGAAGGAGACGCGTGTGCCCAGCTAGCCGCCGCCTTTTGCAGCTAATCAAAGAACGTCCGACGATTCAACTTACCCCCCCTCCCCCCACCCGACAGCACCGTTCCGACACGGTCTCGGAGGCTCATGATAAATGTCAAACTAAGAAGCTTCCGTTCCGCGCACCGCCTGTTGCTGCTAATCAAAGATCGTAGATCCACGTTCTTTGAGCCAATATGGCAAAAATTGGTCGGGACTTTTTCATATCCCGTGAATATTGGTCGGGACATGTCCCTACCGTCCCTACCCAAACCTACGCCCATGATTTCAATTCATCGCAAAGGGTCAAAAATATTTTATTTGGTTTGGAAAACACAGATGTGTTAAATTAACAGAATATTTAAGCATATCCTATAGTGCAGTTTTAAAAAGTGACTGACAACAAAGTTGGTTGTGATTTTTTTTTAATAGTTAGCAGCACAAATTGCAGCCATGCAGCATGACTGATGTCAAATGGTAGATGGCAGAACACCAACTGGTACTGGGTTGGGGTTTAGTTACTTCAATAAGATGAACTTAAAATACCTTGAATGATTCTAAGATCTGATGCTTGGGATTGGATGTCTCTACTTCAGTTTTTTTTTACCAAGCAGCTAAATAAGAATAAAAATAAACCCTGAACTGGCTTGACGTATTGCAAGAAAGGTGTGATTTTCTTAAAGTTAAACAAAACTTGCATCCAGGACTTGCTGCATTAATTGCAGGATGAACTCAGAGAATATTCTGCAACACTTTTACTTTACTAAGCATTTGTGATTTTTTGTGCTCTTGCATAAAGGGATGTTGAAGCAATAAGTAGCAAATTAATTAGTTGTTTTTTTTATTATTTACTAACATGTGCATGCATTTCAGAATATTATTAATCTGTCATTTCCATATTCAGATTCCTGGTTGAATTCAACTTATACAGTTGGTGGAACTCTGATCTCACAGCTAAAGGTAAGATTGGACGCTTTCTAAACAACCTGTACACAAACACAACACATAATTGCATTATTAAAAAGAATGTAAATGTTTTACATTTCATTTATTCTGATCAGAATCACAAATTAATTGTTTCTTTTTTGTTGTTTTTTTTGGTTGTCAGTAGTTTTGGCGTTTTTTCTGGTTCATGTGGATTTAAAAGTTTCATGCTAGCTCTTATATCTGTTGTAGATTTTACAAATAAAGCCCTTGGGAGTCTTCAGATGATCCAAAGCTTTACTGAAAGAATCCTAACTGGAAACTGAAAAACTCCACTTTACTAATTACTAACTACTTTAAGAGTTTTGTCTAATTTTGTGATTTATGCATTGAAGCTCTGAGCTGTTAGTCTTGCTCTCCAAATCTGGCCCATAGATCAGCTAAGCAGAGGCCACTGCTTTGCGGATCCATATTGAAGCAAAAATATTGCTTTCAATTGCTTCCCTTGTCTTTACAAGACAATGCCGATTTCTTAAAAACTACAAAACACATTTTTTATGACCAGCTTCTTTTTATTTATCACTTGATCTGCATGCCTTTTTATGTTTATGTAATTTGAAGTTATTTTTCTCCTGCACTTTTATTCATTTATTGTAAAGCACTTAATGATTTTTAGCGGTGAAATGTGCCATATAAAAAAATAGTATTTTACATGTTACCATAAAGTAGTAAAATAAAAGCTCTGTTAAAATTCTAGGAAAATAAATTGGTTGAATGACATCATTGCATCTTTGCCTTCACCATCTTGTTGTTTGCACTTAGGCTTCCATAATAAGACCCCTTAAAAAAATGTCAGTGTGAAAACAGTGGTAAGAAATAACCCAAATCCAAATGTATTACGTAACTACCATAAAGTTACGTAATAAAAAGTTAAAGTCATACTGAATATTGATTTTGGAGAGAAATAATATCTGCTTTATAAAAGCAGACATATGCATTTCTCTTTTTTTCTGGTTTATGTCTTTGCTTGTGCTTTTACGTCTCGTTTTCCTCCTTGAACATATGCACATTCTCATATTTTCACCGACAAGCAGTAAACGCTGTAATTCTTCATGCTTTATGGAGTGTTGAATACTATTCCCCTGTCTTGGAATGAGACTTGCACTAAGCAGCATCAAAGTGTCACATTAGTTGGAGCCAAAACCAACAAAAATATTTTTGTGAAAGTGAGAGAGAGAGAGAGAGAGAAAGAACTCCAAAATGAGAGTTCCATAAAATGCTTTACTTGCACATTTTAATCCTGGATGAAGAGAAGCTGGGCATCGCCACTCGCCAAGCATTCGAGACAATTTCACAGCTGGCTAGCCTCAGGTCTTAGCAGCACTTTCTGTATCTTTTTACAACAAAGACACCAGGGCTTGTGACACGGGGCTGAAACACAACAACCTCGCAAGGCTGTAACCAAATCTACACAGCTACTCAAGCTGAGCTAATCCCAGACGTTTATACTCGTATATGGTTTTAATGCGACACACACATACGCACGCACAGACAACAATGCCGTGCCACTGGCTCGCTGTAATTAAACCACTCCGTTCTAATCGCACATATAATCCGCCATCTTTAGAAATCTCTGTCATAAAGATGAGAAGCGCTCTGTGCCTAAGCTGAGCTTTAGAGCTGTTTTCTTGCGTTAAATAAATTAGTTTGCTAATGGAAGATATTGCCAACCATCTTGTAGAGTTTCCTCAATCCTCTGGGTGGCAGTAGTGTTCAAGCAATGTTTGGGGAGAGCACATACCTCAAATTGGCATGTTCAAGCAGAAAAGAGTTGTTCTGCTTCAAAAGCACTATTTTCTTTAATGGTTCCATTTTCTTTCTTTTTTTTTTTTTCTTGCATGGATTTGACGTGTTAAGCGGTTTGCCTCCAATACTGTTTAATGACTCGATGAGTTTTTTTACATGTATAATTTAAGTCTTTTATTCAGTGTCGTTTAAGTTTTCCTTCAAATTTGACCTCCTTTGCCTCCTTTCTTTCATTCCCATTTTTCATTATCTCCTCCTCTCTCTTTTCACTGTTAATCTCCTCTTTGGTTTAGCTCAAAGGGCAGGTCCGCATATGCAGGTGCCGTGTGACACGGAGTACCCTGCCTTCGTCTCAGAAAGAACAATCAAGGAGAACATGGGCAACATCGACTGCGATGGCTGCATCAAGTAAGCGACACTCAGAAATGTCAAAAAAAAAAAAAAAAAAAAGGAAAAGATTACCAACAACTTTCCGGAGCGACATGCTTTTTACATTTGTTTGCTATCAAAGAATGTAACTGAAATAAAACGGCAAACAGGGTGAGAGAAACTTTAACTTCATTTTGTTATCTGTGAAAAATACGTTTATCCAGCCAATCCATCAGCAACACACACAAACCCCCAACTCTGTCCTCCAGCAGTTTGTAATACGAGGCATTTAGGGATGAGGGAGAGGTTGAAAGAAAAAAAAAAAAGGCTTCCTTTTAAAAATGGGAAAATGAGTGTGGTCCCCATTAACAATTTGAGATTTTCTGTCAGGCAATTGTGGGGTGTTCTCTGGATCCCTCCAATGGGCCCTTCATTGCTCCCAGCTGTGGAACTGCCAACGAGCTCGGAAATCTGTGTTTGTGTGCGTGTGTTTGCGTGTGTATGCGTGTGTTTTCCTTGTGTGTCTGCTGAGAGCCCCTCAAGGTCGGCAGGGTAACCACCGCCGTTGGTGCCATGTCTAAAATGCGGTTGGGGAGCCAGTCGTAACGCAAAACACACATACAGCAGCACCTACTCAGGCTCTCTCACACCCGTTCAGATTTACATGACAGAGTTATTTTTATCCAGTGATGACACCATGAAGAGATGTGCGCTTTTACGATCAAATCTGTAAAAAAAAGAAGAAAAATCCTCTTGATCTGATACAATAAATCTGACAGTGTGAAATAATTTCTTTATTTTATGCATATGACGTTTTGCAAATCATATTTGTAACTAAACGCACTTGTGATAAACATCTGTTTTATGTTTTGGCTCATGGAGACCTTCTGTTATATTTTCATTCAGACATGCGTGTATGCTTTATGCTTTCGGAAACGGATCCCAAACTCTTGCCTGCTAAACTTCTCTTTCTGTATTTTGATTCTCAGTGTGCATGTGTGTCACTATTTGTATACGTCCATTACCAAAACACAGACGATTGTGTATTAGCCTAAATGGAGCAATGTAGTGTATGTTTGATTTGGTGCTTTTCGAGCTTTCCAGAATTAATTGATTCATTGCATAGTTTGTTTTTTCTAGCCAGAGGGTGACTTCATCTTGAAGACTTTTTAAAATACAAGCATATCTTTATTTCAAACTGCATTAATAAGAAGAGTTCCTCTTTTCGTTTGCACGAGGTCTATACAAGGTTCAAAGCAAGTCAAAATATTGTCAACATCTGTTTATTTTTACTAATATCTGGCCAGTATCTTTTAGTTTTTCATATTTCTGATAAACTGGGCTTTGTGGCCTCACATTGTTCGAGACAACGTGTGAGGCCACTCACAGGACTGCTTGGTTTCCTAAAGCTAACATGTTTTCACTCCTGATATGTTAGAAATCAACTGAATAAACTATGTTGAGATTATTTGTGTATGACGATTAAAAGAAAGTAAAAGGACATTGCAGCATTCGGAAATGAAAGCTACTAAATATTCCTTATTTGTTTTTACCACTTTTTTAAAGGTTTTATTTACACCTCATGCATCTTTAACTGGGTAAACACATACAATCGTCAAGTCTGAATCTCAAATCTAAACCATGCACAACATGCAGCTATAGTTATAATAAAAACTGTTAAATCCACAGAGAGAAGAACTGCAACTCAGTTTTAGCAAAGACATTTTTATGTAATGGGCAAAAATGTCCCTATAAATGAAATGTGCAACTTCCTGTATTATAAAATAGTACGGGATTCAAACTCATAAGCAAAAACATACTGCTATTTGTCACCAACTGTCGACACGAAGTAAGTTAATATTTTATGAAAACCTTGAAAGGAAGGCATGGACTGTCACAGTCTTTGAACATTTTCAGCACTTATTTCCAAACATTTATCTCCCATTCACAATGTGTGAGTGCTGTTTTTTATGGTGTCGGCAACCATGTCCTCCTTTCATCCTTCTCAGGAAACATATTGCAAGTCTTTTCATTAGCTCAGAGAAATGAAACTTGTCTGTTTTTTTTTTTTTCTGTCTTACTAAAAAAGTTTGCATTGGTGGTTTTTGCCGAGTATCTGTGCAGATCTGAGGCATTCTTCAATGAGTCTTTGGGCTATCTGTGCTTTCATGCAGGATGTGGAACCTACTTTCCTTACACTGGATATGTTCAAGTCTAGCAGCTGTGCAGTGTCATGATATGTTCAGCAATTTTTTCTCCAGAAAGCTTTTTCTGCTTTTTTTTTTTTTTTTTTTCTGTAGTCTGTAGAACTCGACGAGCCTGGCACTGCACAGGGGTTGAAAACGTAGTAATAGACATTTTGGCAGATTGTGAGTAACCGCTTGGAACTGAATCGATCAGTCTGCTGAAGTAGTTATGCTGGACAATGTTGGTCACAGTGAGATATGTGCATAAAATGCAGCTGATTGGTACCACTGAAGAATTAGAGACTTTTAGGAATAGGATTAAATGAAAAATACTATTAAATCAGTGAGGAAGGAAATACTGCTGCAGATATTAGGCCAGCTTTAATCTGTCCGCAGACTCCGTATCTTCAGAAAGAATTTGTTTGGACTCTATTTTAACATCTGATAATTAAATAAAATATTTGATAACCAAAGTGAAGTGAGAGACGGAGAAAGAAAGAGACCCAAAGAAAAGACAGAGCAACATAAAGGAAAATAATATATAATCTTTACGAGCTCTCTTCATCATAAAGCTCTTCCATGGAAATAAATCACTAAGCAGAAGGCCTGATCTCCCAGGCCAGTAAAACACAGACGTGGGAAGAAATATGCTCCAAAGTGTGGTTCACATTTGTCTCTTGATGGAGTGTGTTATATTCAGCAACACTTCATTGATGCTCACCTTGGACTAGACGATGCAAAGAGTTAGTATGTGTGTCCAGTCTGGCCATGTCCATCCGAGATTGCGTGGGTCTCCGAGTTTATTCAGAGCTCTTAGTGGAGTGTTTTATTTCCTTGTCCTTTGTTGTGTGGCGTCTTTCTAATACAGTTTATACATTAGAGTAGAATTAAAAAAAATGAGCGACATTACCGACCTGGAAGTAACTTTCTAACTCATCCATTTTGACGACCACTTTATTACACAATTTCTTCCCCCTGCATGTTTTCTCATTTTTCATTGTTTTCCTTCTGCCGTTCTGCTTTTATTGGCAGGTCATTTGTGATTCAGCAGATCCCCAGCAGTAATCTTTTTATGGTTGTGGTGGACAACAAGTGTGACTGCAGCCAGTTTGGACCCATCACCATGGACCCCTTTGAAATTATGTATATCCTTCACTTGTTTTTGGAGGTCAGGGGGAGGTTGGCAGGGATGTCCAGAAGTTTTTGTTGTTGTTGTTGTTGTTGTTTGTTTTTTTCCCAAAGTCAACATTCAGTCTGTTTTGTACTAAGTTAAAAAAAAATCTCTGTGGCTACATTTAGCATTTCAATGCTATAAATATATTTATGTTCACTGAAAATAGATTAGAAGTTAGAAATCCGTTACCACTTCTTGGGGTTAGGGTCAAGAATGTATAAAACCACAAAAGCTTTTTTGAAGAATTTGAAGTGTCTTTGTAAGGATTTTGTTTACACTTTTACAATAGATTACGTTAGATTCAGTTTGAAGACTGTTGTTCTCTTCACTCTGAGACGATGAATTTGTCTCATTTAGAAGAAACCGTAAATGATGACTAGTCTGAGCAACACATGTGCCCCTTAGGTACATTATACATTATGAAATTACAGTGAGTTAAACAGAAAGTTGAACGTCAGATAAATAGAATAAGTGCTTTATTTTGAAAAGCAGGGGATGTCTGTGGTTATAATGCCACTAGCAAATATTAAGGTGAAAGAGGAAGATTAAGATTATTTTCTAAATAACTAAAAGTCGTTTAATAAGAAGATCAAGCAAGTTTCATAGGCATCCATGTGGTCATTATTATGAATCACCTGTTTCTGGCATAGGTCAGCCGGCTTATTCCTGTGTCAATGACAAAGATCGTTTATGATGACCTAAACACAGACGGACAAAAAAGTAAGAGAAGTATTGCTTTCCTGTATTAACTGAAGATAAAATATTATCTTTGTAGGGGACAAAATCTGGAGCAAAGATACACAGTCCCGCAATATACAAGAATGTCCGTAAAATGCTTTGTGAGTCAGTTGTACACTAACTCCTGGTAAACACTTTGATCAATTGCTGATACAGTTACTGATACACAGAAGTTCTGCAGAAACACTTGTGTTTCTAACCACAAAAAGTGTTTTTTCTTTTTTTTTTTTTTAATCAGTGCACATTTCTTTGAAATGTAATCGGCTATAAACATGTCCTCCAGTGTTTATTTTTTGCAAAGCACTCACTGTGGCATATCGTGTGCTATTCTGGTGCTTTGCCACAAAAGAAAATGTATCATACGCTGGAGGTTTATTTTTTTCTGACATGAGTTTTTTTTGTTTAGTACAAAAACATTATTGCCCTTAAATGCATCTATGCAGCTAATTGCTTGATGCAGTCAAACACATACATACATTTTTCATAAATAAAAGAAATAGTGCCTTGCCAGAAGGGAATTCATACCCTGTTATCACAAGTTAACACGTTTCAAGCTTGACCTTTTTTGTACTTTATTAGCTTTTTAGGTGAACGTCCAACACAAAGTGGTTGTGAAGTAGAAGAAAATATTGTTATGTTTGTTTATGGGACATATGGGTGGCTTGGAAATAAAAATGAGAAAAGTACACAATGCACTTATATTCACCCTCCTCAATTATTTTCACTGGATTATTCTAAGAAATGATTATGCTTTAATCAAAAATATTCCATTTGAACATTTTCCCCGTCTTATGTCTTTTTCAGCCCAATATAAATCTCCACCCATCTGTTAATCAACTGATCAGTTTTCCTATTCATGCTGAAGAAAAGCAACCCCACACCACGACTCTGCCACCACCTGGAGTTTGGTGTGATCACTTTTCATGGCTTTCTTCCAGCAATTATTTTTCCACACTTACATGAAGTTGAGATTTGTGGAACTCACAGCTAATATCTGTCCTTTCTACTTATGCTTCCGGCTGAACATATCACATGGTTCTTTGTGCTTATTAGCTGGGTTTTAAAGGTCATAGATTTATTTATATGTACCAGATTAGAGAGGGCATAATACGAATGCAGAGTGCACTTTTCAGATTTTTACTTGTAATTTTTTTTTCTCTGTATTATTATGCAGCACCTTGTTGTATTCTATCACATAAAAGCCAAATGAAATACAGTGGAATTCGTTGTGAGGAAAAGCCACAGCAGCGTATGTAGCAGTTTTTTTTGTTTGTTTTTTTTTACCTTAACTTCAACTGCACATAACGAATCGCTCAAGTGTGAGAGACTGAAGATGCAAAAAGACAGGCGGCGCCCAGATACCTGTCACCCTTTTCATCCAGAGGTATTTGCAACTCACAATTATCGCACTCTGCACCCGCACACGTCACTGGATTTATTTCTCATATATTCCTTCCTGCGATTGTAGGAAAATTCAATGGAGTGTGGAGGAGCTGGCAGCCTCACTACATCGCTTAGTGCCACGCTGCTTTTAGCGCTCATGGCCTTGTTCCTTAGGTGACCAAAGCTGGTCCTGACTCACCATCCACAGCTTGACCTGGTTTGGCTTGGCTCGACGTTATGAGGAATTGCAGCGAAGCCACAGAAAACAACATTTCTGTCCTGTATGAAACTGTGCCCGAATTCAAACCCATCACCAATATGATCCCCAGCCCAGAGGTATCACCCGTCAGGGTCATGCAATAATTGAAAGGACTGTTCAAAGGATAATATTAAACTTGCTAAGACAACTACAATCTTTTGGAAATATCATAGGAGCTACAAGGTAAAGATAGTGGGAGAAAATTGGTACAAATATAACATTGAATGTGCTTTTTGACTCTATGGCCCTTACCAAACCATGATTGGGGTTTTCTTCAGTTGTTTGAGAAACCAGGGGTCAAGAACAAGTTCAGTGGTGAAAGTTCTACCTTAGAAAAAAGCCCTGAAAGATTTTTCATTCAAAGTGTAGCTTTCGATGAAGGGTGCTTAGCATTTCTGGGTGGATGAGAATTTTCAACATTAATGTCGCCTTTTTCTGTTTTAGTCAGTTTAATGTGCAGCACAATCTGCACTTTTGACTTCCGATAATCGTATTGCACGACGGATTAAGTCTCACTGTAGAGAAGGCTAAAACACACCAGTAGAAGCTTAAAAACAAACAAAAAGAAAAATCTAGGGCTATACCCACTGACAGTTGTAACAAAATGTTCAGTCCTTTCAGGTTGTAGCAAAGGACTGGGGTCTGTAGCTGGGTTTGGAACTGGGCATTACAGCCACGAAACACCCACATGGACAGAGATGGATGCACTTTCCCCTGGCCTGTTCTGACTTTCCATGGACTTTTTTTGATTCTGAAGATTTAAAAAAAATATATTCTAAAGATGTTACATGTGGCTGGGATTGTTATATGATGTTTGTCTAATTATCTTTTTTCCACAATGAAAAAAAAAATCTGTTACAATATCTACTGTATATGGAAAGAAAAAAAAAAGTTTATTTATAGTTCGCAAGTGGTACCCATAAACTGTGACTCAGAGATCCTCTGATGTGAGTGGTTGTAATAATTAAGCTTTGCCTTATAAAAAGATATCGTTCCTGTTTGTGTACTTTTGAAATAAAATATTGTTTAAAATGTATTTTTTTTTTTTGTTGAATGTTGAGTTATTTGAAGAGTCTTTAGAAGTCGCTGTTTGAAAAGGTTTAGACCTGAAATTTTAATCCACACTGATTGCTCTTTTGTTCTCAGTTTAAGCCACATGAAGACAGCATCTCCTCCGAAGCAGAAATGTGGCACGCATGTGTGTCTCTTGCGCATCTGTTGTTTCCTTTTTCTGTCATTCATGTGAACTACTGCCCCAGAGGAAGCCCCCACCCAGCCATCGAGAGACAAAGACCAAGACATGACAGCTGAAGACCAGCTACAACACATCTGTATCTGTTTAGCGATGGACGTCCTTTCTGTCATCATAGAGCCAGTCGCATCGTGTGTGCCAACGTCATACATAGCTTGCGCTGTTGCTGGAGTAACATTTTAGAAAATGACAGCTAGGTTCTCCTGAGATGCTGTCAGTGCCAGCCAGCCAGGGGAAGCTCTGCTGCGGTCTCAATGTCAGCAAAAGGATCCTTGTGGTCAGCAGCTGGACATGCTCCATCTCCTCCTCTCTCCTCACTACTCAACACTTTAGTTCTACACACAGTCTTCACCTGCTCTGGAAAAAAAAAAAAAGTATCTTAGTATAGCGATCTCTGCTGTTTTATTTTTTTTTTTTTTAGGTTTTGCGTCCTTCAACTTGGTCACTGCAATTTTCGCTTGCTTTTTGTTTTTTTTTTTTTTTTTTTTCTATGTGTTTAAGTTGACTTGCTTGTCATATGTCACGGGGATAATAGATTGGAGCTGTTTTGGTATAACACCCGTCCAATCAAGTCTGTGATTCCTTTCACTCCGTTAGATGAGTTATGAGAAAGTGGGTGCAGTGTGTATGCAAAAAGCTGCCTTGGGAAAGCAGTCCTCTTTCTGTGGAACAGTCACACCCTATTACCGCAGTCCTTCGTGTGAGTGATAAATGTTCATCTATGTTTTGTGTAAGCTCTTTAGCCTGATGACTGGACACTAGAATGCTAAAAGGCCTACAAATGCACACAGATTCAAAAACTTTCCACAGACAAAGTTAAAATTCTTGTGAGAAATAGAGATGGACAACCAGAACCATACAGTTTAACAGAGGAAAAGGAACACAGATGGAACTAAAAACGATTCACATTGCAAATTGGAAAATATTTATTTAAAATACTTTCAGAACTCCCTTAATTTTTCATGGGACAGCCTTAACAAAACATTCCTCGAAAACTTTGGTCTATGTTGACGTCATACTGTCACACGATTGTTGTAGATTTCTCAGCTCCACATCTGTAACATGAGTTTTCTGCTCCACAACGTCCTAGTTCTGGAGACTGTTGGGGCCACTGGGGATGTTCAACTTCAGATGTTCTGGTAAAGTCAAGAAACTAAAACAAAGTTTTCAATAAAACCATCAGATGGAATTATTGACTTATTTTCTGCAGTAAATTCATCTGGGACCTCTTAATCTCAAGTCATATGATCACTGCAATATTCACCAACATATCACTGGTTTTGATGATATTATGCATACTGGGTACAATGTTTAACCACCACGCCATTACACCACTTCTACTGTCCTACTGTCCTACAGCTTTTAGGGTACATTGCTGCCCCAATGCAGCTGAATCAAATGATGTGATTACCTCTTCAGTATGCCATCAAGTTTGGCAAAGGCCTTCTAACGAGTTATTCATTTGAATCACATGTTGCAGGGCAGTAGATCTCGAGGACCAGGGTTGGAGACATCTGCTCTGATGACTGAAAGAAATGTTTTGTCATCAAATCCATGACATTTTGTGGCCCCATGCCACGGCATTGGTTTAGATTAGAAAGTCAACCCTTCACTCTTTGTTCTTCAACCTAAATTGCAACATGGACAAATGTAATGTTTACCCCCTTATAAATACAGACATTTGGAGGTAGCATATACTGTGGGATGTAAGGTACATTACTGTTTTCTAAATGTTTCAAAGTCTAATATAATGATCAGATAGCGAGACAATGATCCATCTGGCACAAACAAACAATACCATGTGCAAAGTCACTTAAATCCTCTTTCTACCTTCTTGTGTTCTTCTGTTTGAACATAAGCAAGTTGTTTTCTTCCCATATAGATTTCTCACTGCTAAGTGATTGTATTAAGCAAATAATCAGGTGTAACTAATAAAGTGGTTGATATGTGTTCATCCCTCCTTACATTTCATTATAGACTTAATTTATCTTATGTGAAGTTTTCCAGTCAATTGACTCTTAGTTCCCCTCTGCCCATTAAAACGGTCTATCTGTCAAAGACAAAGCAAGTGAAAGACACATAAATGATGGTGTTTTCTGAAAAGCTGTCCAAATTCTTTCCCAGTGATCCAATCTGCACAACTGTTTGAGGTGGGAAGGAACCCCTCAGAGAGGAGTCACTGATGATTTGAAGACAATGCCCTAAAGGGGCCCTGCTATTCAAAACACATCAATCCATCAACACTCACACTGCTTCAACTTTGTTTCTGGACTGCATGAGAAATCGTTTTTTTTTTTTTTTTTGCCAGTTTGCCACGGGACAGGCGACGGCGAATTGGCTGTATTCACACGTTCAAACGGCGTAAGCATAAACACACACATGATAAACACGACACGCACAATGCATACCGGCGGTCACGCGGAGGGCAAAGCTTTTGGTGTTACCTCCGATGGAGTGGATCCATTGGTGGTTTGCTTTGAGGACCACAGATATGTTTAAATGGAAATGATTCTGAGCAGCCGAAGCAAACCCAAGACCACCCACATGGCCAGTGACCACAACAAGACACTACTAAGGCAAGCTGGGAAAACACACACACAGTATTTTTACTAAAATCCCACTGAATCGCTCGATGTATGCTGGCCATGAAACTCATTGTCTCCATATGTTTTGTTTTGTTGTTTTTTTTTCTTTTAAAGAAGAAAAGGTGACAGACAATGGTTTTCTATCATTTTCTGACAATGACAGAAAAGCATTTGATCTTTATTTTTATGATAGTAATTTCTTGTACACAATCATGAGTCAAATGAGCTTTTCTGTCTTCACCACAACAGAGTGAGTATTTTCACATACTGTGATCATCAGCACCACCCCTTCCACTTTAGTCACCACTTTCCACACCCTTTTTTTTTTATCTTTTTCTCTTCAAGCTTTGACCACACGCTCACTGGGTGCACTGGTGATAATGAGCAGACTCCTCAGCTACATTACCCACACATGCATATGCCCACATGCTCCCACATTGGAGACGAAAACCAAACCAAACCAAAGCCCAAAGACAAATTTGTTCCTGTGAGTGCCAGGAGACACATTTCTGCCAAGGCTGAAAGGTGCCAGATGAAAACATACACTCTCAATACACACGTACACATACAAAGAATTAGTCGACTACCCCATGCTGTGATCGGAAAAAGAGCTTTCAGTATTTGGGGACCTCTTGGTGAGCCAGAGGTATTGACAGCCAGATGTACTAATACTCAATCTGTATGTGTTTGTGTTTGTGTGTGTGTCCGCTTGTAGGTGTGTGTATATGCGTGTATATGTGTGAAATGTAAATGTGTGGGTGCTGCCGGGATAAGCAGAGATACCCTATCTCGTTCTTTTTGAGATCTGATTAGGACTAGCAAAGACTGTAATTTGCGGAGAGAAGTCTCCCCGAATACATTTCACCATCATGCAGACAAAACCTATTTTCTGCTGCAGCCACAAACTGAAAACCGAATCAGAACAACACATATTTATGTATTTAGCTGTATTTTGTGTGGAACAAATTGCAATCGGAGCTTGTCTAGAAAACTAGCCTTAAGCCTCTCTAGAACCTCGTTTGCTCCCACATGGTAATCCTCAGCAGTGGCCTAAAGGGGCAAACACAAAAGCTTCCTTAAATAGCAAATAGTCAAATGTAGATTGCTGCCTTAGCTCTGCTGCTTAGATGCATGCATAATGTTTTTGTGAAGACCAGCTGAACAAAATGGACAGTCAGAAAGGAAGAAGGAGAGAATAGTAAGGTGAGGATTAGAGATCAGATAGGCAACAGAAGATAAGGACACACTTACTGCGAGAGAGTAGGTGGCCTCACGACATCATGACACTAAAGGCTGGCTTTGACCCACGATTTGATTGGAAAGTCATGAAAAGTATTCTGAGCACTTCATTAAGACGCACTTGGTTGCCTTGGATAGAGGAGCAATCGATGAGCTGGAGGTTATTGGGGGTATATGGCACCACACCGGCTGCTTCAAATCCCGCTGTGCAGAAAAAGGTTGAATTTTGATGTTATAACAGATGTGGTGTTGCTACACCTTCTACAGGACTATGTGTTTCCAATTGCGTCGGTTTGTGAAGCTCAGTTTGTATTTTAAATACCAGCATTTTCCATTAATAGCCACAAGCCGTCTAGGATCTGGGAAAACAAGGAGTTTCAGACCATCGAACTGTAACACCGCATTGCACTTGACAACAAGGGGCTGCTGTACTCCGGCCCTGGTTGTGTTTGCATTGAGCAGAGTGCCACATCGAAGTGGGTACGGATCATCATATCAAAAGTGAATCCATTTCCTTAGAGACTGCGGATCACATTTTTGTTCCTCGTTGCCTTGTCTATCTCCTTCTGTACCCACTTGTCAGCGAGGGAGTTGGAAAAAACAAACTCCGCTTTGCCTAAATCAATCAAAAAGAAAAGTATAATCTGAGTTTCATGTGTGAGCTGGACTTGCGTTTGGTGTAGCTGAACCACTGCAGCAGATCGACATAATTTTGATCAAGATCAAAACCCTAACGCATTTGATTAAGACCAAGCAGGTGCACATGATTTAAGGGCTATGATTTAATTTTATTGTTAATTTATTACCGGAGCCACTGTCAGTGTTTTTTGTTACCGCAGAGAAAAAGTTACATTTATTAATTTATGAACTCTATATTCGGCTTGTTGAACATTAATTAAATCAAATGAAAATGAAATACAATGGACTGGCGACCTGTCCATGGTCTACCCCTCCTCTCGCCCACTGACTGCTGGAGAAAAGTACCACCCCTCCTCATGACTCTGCAGGAATAAATGTGTTAGATAATGGATGGATGGGTGAAAATTAAATGCAAATAAGTATCACTATTATCAATTATAAATTGATGGGTAGTCAGTCTAATGCAACCTTTGACTGAGAGATATGGAATATGTCTCATCTCTGTATCCAGCCCCACGACCAATTAACCTATCAAAAGCTGACTTCAAACCAGCCTCATCTCCTGAATGGAACTTCAGCTCTTGGAATTCCAGGGCTTGGACTGGGCCCTGACGGCTAAAGCCAAGACGCCCAGCTCGGGTTTGAAATGAGGCCAGGCCAGGCTGCGCCCTGAAATGCATAACAGTCTTAGGTTACATGGCAAATGTAATGGGATCTCCATTTTCCAAAAAGCTCCACTCGTGTTCTGTCAGTTGACAGATATATATATACATTTTTTTTTTTAAGTCTCGGGGATCATCAAGATCAAATGTGAGTCAGATCATCGGGTTGTTTTAGGTCAGCATTGAGTTAGGCCTTGAAATTCTCCCACGGGGACTGTTTTTGCCCAGTCCCTTTCTTACCATTAATTCACAAGACTAGTCTGAAAGTAAGTGAATGTTGTTCTTTAGGTGTTGCAGGTTCTTTTGTGATCTCCATGATGAGTCAAAAAAATTCTCTTGGAATGNTTCATACCCTGTTATCACAAGTTAACACGTTTCAAGCTTGACCTTTTTTGTACTTTATTAGCTTTTTAGGTGAACGTCCAACACAAAGTGGTTGTGAAGTAGAAGAAAATATTGTTATGTTTGTTTATGGGACATATGGGTGGCTTGGAAATAAAAATGAGAAAAGTACACAATGCACTTATATTCACCCTCCTCAATTATTTTCACTGGATTATTCTAAGAAATGATTATGCTTTAATCAAAAATATTCCATTTGAACATTTTCCCCGTCTTATGTCTTTTTCAGCCCAATATAAATCTCCACCCATCTGTTAATCAACTGATCAGTTTTCCTATTCATGCTGAAGAAAAGCAACCCCACACCACGACTCTGCCACCACCTGGAGTTTGGTGTGATCACTTTTCATGGCTTTCTTCCAGCAATTATTTTTCCACACTTACATGAAGTTGAGATTTGTGGAACTCACAGCTAATATCTGTCCTTTCTACTTATGCTTCCGGCTGAACATATCACATGGTTCTTTGTGCTTATTAGCTGGGTTTTAAAGGTCATAGATTTATTTATATGTACCAGATTAGAGAGGGCATAATACGAATGCAGAGTGCACTTTTCAGATTTTTACTTGTAATTTTTTTTTCTCTGTATTATTATGCAGCACCTTGTTGTATTCTATCACATAAAAGCCAAATGAAATACAGTGGAATTCGTTGTGAGGAAAAGCCACAGCAGCGTATGTAGCAGTTTTTTTTGTTTGTTTTTTTTTACCTTAACTTCAACTGCACATAACGAATCGCTCAAGTGTGAGAGACTGAAGATGCAAAAAGACAGGCGGCGCCCAGATACCTGTCACCCTTTTCATCCAGAGGTATTTGCAACTCACAATTATCGCACTCTGCACCCGCACACGTCACTGGATTTATTTCTCATATATTCCTTCCTGCGATTGTAGGAAAATTCAATGGAGTGTGGAGGAGCTGGCAGCCTCACTACATCGCTTAGTGCCACGCTGCTTTTAGCGCTCATGGCCTTGTTCCTTAGGTGACCAAAGCTGGTCCTGACTCACCATCCACAGCTTGACCTGGTTTGGCTTGGCTCGACGTTATGAGGAATTGCAGCGAAGCCACAGAAAACAACATTTCTGTCCTGTATGAAACTGTGCCCGAATTCAAACCCATCACCAATATGATCCCCAGCCCAGAGGTATCACCCGTCAGGGTCATGCAATAATTGAAAGGACTGTTCAAAGGATAATATTAAACTTGCTAAGACAACTACAATCTTTTGGAAATATCATAGGAGCTACAAGGTAAAGATAGTGGGAGAAAATTGGTACAAATATAACATTGAATGTGCTTTTTGACTCTATGGCCCTTACCAAACCATGATTGGGGTTTTCTTCAGTTGTTTGAGAAACCAGGGGTCAAGAACAAGTTCAGTGGTGAAAGTTCTACCTTAGAAAAAAGCCCTGAAAGATTTTTCATTCAAAGTGTAGCTTTCGATGAAGGGTGCTTAGCATTTCTGGGTGGATGAGAATTTTCAACATTAATGTCGCCTTTTTCTGTTTTAGTCAGTTTAATGTGCAGCACAATCTGCACTTTTGACTTCCGATAATCGTATTGCACGACGGATTAAGTCTCACTGTAGAGAAGGCTAAAACACACCAGTAGAAGCTTAAAAACAAACAAAAAGAAAAATCTAGGGCTATACCCACTGACAGTTGTAACAAAATGTTCAGTCCTTTCAGGTTGTAGCAAAGGACTGGGGTCTGTAGCTGGGTTTGGAACTGGGCATTACAGCCACGAAACACCCACATGGACAGAGATGGATGCACTTTCCCCTGGCCTGTTCTGACTTTCCATGGACTTTTTTTGATTCTGAAGATTTAAAAAAAATATATTCTAAAGATGTTACATGTGGCTGGGATTGTTATATGATGTTTGTCTAATTATCTTTTTTCCACAATGAAAAAAAAAATCTGTTACAATATCTACTGTATATGGAAAGAAAAAAAAAAGTTTATTTATAGTTCGCAAGTGGTACCCATAAACTGTGACTCAGAGATCCTCTGATGTGAGTGGTTGTAATAATTAAGCTTTGCCTTATAAAAAGATATCGTTCCTGTTTGTGTACTTTTGAAATAAAATATTGTTTAAAATGTATTTTTTTTTTTTGTTGAATGTTGAGTTATTTGAAGAGTCTTTAGAAGTCGCTGTTTGAAAAGGTTTAGACCTGAAATTTTAATCCACACTGATTGCTCTTTTGTTCTCAGTTTAAGCCACATGAAGACAGCATCTCCTCCGAAGCAGAAATGTGGCACGCATGTGTGTCTCTTGCGCATCTGTTGTTTCCTTTTTCTGTCATTCATGTGAACTACTGCCCCAGAGGAAGCCCCCACCCAGCCATCGAGAGACAAAGACCAAGACATGACAGCTGAAGACCAGCTACAACACATCTGTATCTGTTTAGCGATGGACGTCCTTTCTGTCATCATAGAGCCAGTCGCATCGTGTGTGCCAACGTCATACATAGCTTGCGCTGTTGCTGGAGTAACATTTTAGAAAATGACAGCTAGGTTCTCCTGAGATGCTGTCAGTGCCAGCCAGCCAGGGGAAGCTCTGCTGCGGTCTCAATGTCAGCAAAAGGATCCTTGTGGTCAGCAGCTGGACATGCTCCATCTCCTCCTCTCTCCTCACTACTCAACACTTTAGTTCTACACACAGTCTTCACCTGCTCTGGAAAAAAAAAAAAAGTATCTTAGTATAGCGATCTCTGCTGTTTTATTTTTTTTTTTTTTAGGTTTTGCGTCCTTCAACTTGGTCACTGCAATTATCGCTAGCTTTCTGTTTTTTTTTTTTTTTTTTTTTTTTTGGGTTTAAGTTGACTTGCTTGTCATATGTCACGGGGATAATAGATTGGAGCTGTTTTGGTATAACACCCGTCCAATCAAGTCTGTGATTCCTTTCACTCCGTTAGATGAGTTATGAGAAAGTGGGTGCAGTGTGTATGCAAAAAGCTGCCTTGGGAAAGCAGTCCTCTTTCTGTGGAACAGTCACACCCTATTACCGCAGTCCTTCGTGTGAGTGATAAATGTTCATCTATGTTTTGTGTAAGCTCTTTAGCCTGATGACTGGACACTAGAATGCTAAAAGGCCTACAAATGCACACAGATTCAAAAACTTTCCACAGACAAAGTTAAAATTCTTGTGAGAAATAGAGATGGACAACCAGAACCATACAGTTTAACAGAGGAAAAGGAACACAGATGGAACTAAAAACGATTCACATTGCAAATTGGAAAATATTTATTTAAAATACTTTCAGAACTCCCTTAATTTTTCATGGGACAGCCTTAACAAAACATTCCTCGAAAACTTTGGTCTATGTTGACGTCATACTGTCACACGATTGTTGTAGATTTCTCAGCTCCACATCTGTAACATGAGTTTTCTGCTCCACAACGTCCTAGTTCTGGAGACTGTTGGGGCCACTGGGGATGTTCAACTTCAGATGTTCTGGTAAAGTCAAGAAACTAAAACAAAGTTTTCAATAAAACCATCAGATGGAATTATTGACTTATTTTCTGCAGTAAATTCATCTGGGACCTCTTAATCTCAAGTCATATGATCACTGCAATATTCACCAACATATCACTGGTTTTGATGATATTATGCATACTGGGTACAATGTTTAACCACCACGCCATTACACCACTTCTACTGTCCTACTGTCCTACAGCTTTTAGGGTACATTGCTGCCCCAATGCAGCTGAATCAAATGATGTGATTACCTCTTCAGTATGCCATCAAGTTTGGCAAAGGCCTTCTAACGAGTTATTCATTTGAATCACATGTTGCAGGGCAGTAGATCTCGAGGACCAGGGTTGGAGACATCTGCTCTGATGACTGAAAGAAATGTTTTGTCATCAAATCCATGACATTTTGTGGCCCCATGCCACGGCATTGGTTTAGATTAGAAAGTCAACCCTTCACTCTTTGTTCTTCAACCTAAATTGCAACATGGACAAATGTAATGTTTACCCCCTTATAAATACAGACATTTGGAGGTAGCATATACTGTGGGATGTAAGGTACATTACTGTTTTCTAAATGTTTCAAAGTCTAATATAATGATCAGATAGCGAGACAATGATCCATCTGGCACAAACAAACAATACCATGTGCAAAGTCACTTAAATCCTCTTTCTACCTTCTTGTGTTCTTCTGTTTGAACATAAGCAAGTTGTTTTCTTCCCATATAGATTTCTCACTGCTAAGTGATTGTATTAAGCAAATAATCAGGTGTAACTAATAAAGTGGTTGATATGTGTTCATCCCTCCTTACATTTCATTATAGACTTAATTTATCTTATGTGAAGTTTTCCAGTCAATTGACTCTTAGTTCCCCTCTGCCCATTAAAACGGTCTATCTGTCAAAGACAAAGCAAGTGAAAGACACATAAATGATGGTGTTTTCTGAAAAGCTGTCCAAATTCTTTCCCAGTGATCCAATCTGCACAACTGTTTGAGGTGGGAAGGAACCCCTCAGAGAGGAGTCACTGATGATTTGAAGACAATGCCCTAAAGGGGCCCTGCTATTCAAAACACATCAATCCATCAACACTCACACTGCTTCAACTTTGTTTCTGGACTGCATGAGAAATCGTTTTTTTTTTTTTTTTTGCCAGTTTGCCACGGGACAGGCGACGGCGAATTGGCTGTATTCACACGTTCAAACGGCGTAAGCATAAACACACACATGATAAACACGACACGCACAATGCATACCGGCGGTCACGCGGAGGGCAAAGCTTTTGGTGTTACCTCCGATGGAGTGGATCCATTGGTGGTTTGCTTTGAGGACCACAGATATGTTTAAATGGAAATGATTCTGAGCAGCCGAAGCAAACCCAAGACCACCCACATGGCCAGTGACCACAACAAGACACTACTAAGGCAAGCTGGGAAAACACACACACAGTATTTTTACTAAAATCCCACTGAATCGCTCGATGTATGCTGGCCATGAAACTCATTGTCTCCATATGTTTTGTTTTGTTGTTTTTTTTTCTTTTAAAGAAGAAAAGGTGACAGACAATGGTTTTCTATCATTTTCTGACAATGACAGAAAAGCATTTGATCTTTATTTTTATGATAGTAATTTCTTGTACACAATCATGAGTCAAATGAGCTTTTCTGTCTTCACCACAACAGAGTGAGTATTTTCACATACTGTGATCATCAGCACCACCCCTTCCACTTTAGTCACCACTTTCCACACCCTTTTTTTTTTATCTTTTTCTCTTCAAGCTTTGACCACACGCTCACTGGGTGCACTGGTGATAATGAGCAGACTCCTCAGCTACATTACCCACACATGCATATGCCCACATGCTCCCACATTGGAGACGAAAACCAAACCAAACCAAAGCCCAAAGACAAATTTGTTCCTGTGAGTGCCAGGAGACACATTTCTGCCAAGGCTGAAAGGTGCCAGATGAAAACATACACTCTCAATACACACGTACACATACAAAGAATTAGTCGACTACCCCATGCTGTGATCGGAAAAAGAGCTTTCAGTATTTGGGGACCTCTTGGTGAGCCAGAGGTATTGACAGCCAGATGTACTAATACTCAATCTGTATGTGTTTGTGTTTGTGTGTGTGTCCGCTTGTAGGTGTGTGTATATGCGTGTATATGTGTGAAATGTAAATGTGTGGGTGCTGCCGGGATAAGCAGAGATACCCTATCTCGTTCTTTTTGAGATCTGATTAGGACTAGCAAAGACTGTAATTTGCGGAGAGAAGTCTCCCCGAATACATTTCACCATCATGCAGACAAAACCTATTTTCTGCTGCAGCCACAAACTGAAAACCGAATCAGAACAACACATATTTATGTATTTAGCTGTATTTTGTGTGGAACAAATTGCAATCGGAGCTTGTCTAGAAAACTAGCCTTAAGCCTCTCTAGAACCTCGTTTGCTCCCACATGGTAATCCTCAGCAGTGGCCTAAAGGGGCAAACACAAAAGCTTCCTTAAATAGCAAATAGTCAAATGTAGATTGCTGCCTTAGCTCTGCTGCTTAGATGCATGCATAATGTTTTTGTGAAGACCAGCTGAACAAAATGGACAGTCAGAAAGGAAGAAGGAGAGAATAGTAAGGTGAGGATTAGAGATCAGATAGGCAACAGAAGATAAGGACACACTTACTGCGAGAGAGTAGGTGGCCTCACGACATCATGACACTAAAGGCTGGCTTTGACCCACGATTTGATTGGAAAGTCATGAAAAGTATTCTGAGCACTTCATTAAGACGCACTTGGTTGCCTTGGATAGAGGAGCAATCGATGAGCTGGAGGTTATTGGGGGTATATGGCACCACACCGGCTGCTTCAAATCCCGCTGTGCAGAAAAAGGTTGAATTTTGATGTTATAACAGATGTGGTGTTGCTACACCTTCTACAGGACTATGTGTTTCCAATTGCGTCGGTTTGTGAAGCTCAGTTTGTATTTTAAATACCAGCATTTTCCATTAATAGCCACAAGCCGTCTAGGATCTGGGAAAACAAGGAGTTTCAGACCATCGAACTGTAACACCGCATTGCACTTGACAACAAGGGGCTGCTGTACTCCGGCCCTGGTTGTGTTTGCATTGAGCAGAGTGCCACATCGAAGTGGGTACGGATCATCATATCAAAAGTGAATCCATTTCCTTAGAGACTGCGGATCACATTTTTGTTCCTCGTTGCCTTGTCTATCTCCTTCTGTACCCACTTGTCAGCGAGGGAGTTGGAAAAAACAAACTCCGCTTTGCCTAAATCAATCAAAAAGAAAAGTATAATCTGAGTTTCATGTGTGAGCTGGACTTGCGTTTGGTGTAGCTGAACCACTGCAGCAGATCGACATAATTTTGATCAAGATCAAAACCCTAACGCATTTGATTAAGACCAAGCAGGTGCACATGATTTAAGGGCTATGATTTAATTTTATTGTTAATTTATTACCGGAGCCACTGTCAGTGTTTTTTGTTACCGCAGAGAAAAAGTTACATTTATTAATTTATGAACTCTATATTCGGCTTGTTGAACATTAATTAAATCAAATGAAAATGAAATACAATGGACTGGCGACCTGTCCATGGTCTACCCCTCCTCTC